ATCTCCTAATCCTGGAGTACCTAGATCTGTTGTGACTGCAAGATCACCAGTTCCCAATATATCACGGACGATTCCTTCGCAGCCAAAGGCATCTTGGGCTCAAATTGTGAAGTGTGTTTTCAATAATATCATGAAGTAGTATTATATAAGCTCGAGAGAGATTAAAAAAAAAAAAAAATCAAAAGGAGAGATTAATCAATATTTCATATTTACATATTGTGCATATAGACCTGAGTCGAAACCGGAGCCAAAACCTGAACCCGTCTCACCTCCTATACATAAAAGCTCACCTGAGAACATAAAAGTTGTATCTCCAAAAATAACGAAATCACCAATTCCTGTACAGTCATCACCACCACCTAAAATACCCGAACCTATCAGCTTACCTTCTCCACCAGAAGAAATGGCAGCAGCACCTGTAGTTGCAGCTGTAAAATCAGAAGAGATCAAGGGGTCATCCAAAGAAATTACATCTACAGAACAACCAGCAGTTACTCCTACTACATCTTCACCAGTTGTAAATGTATCACCACACTCAAAGGAAATTTCACCACCCGGTATCATTAATAAAACTAAGCAAGCCCCCCTTCGTAGGTTGAAGCAAGATGCAGCTGTTGTAATGCCAAGTGCTGGAGCTGGTTTAGAAAGGGTTGGTGTGCAATTTGGAAGTTTGAACATATCAAATTCCAGTGAAGAGAACGCGGAGACGGAGGCACCTACTCAAAGAACTGAAGAACGATCACCTGTAGCAGTGGAAACACCAACTCCTCAACCACTTCAAACTACAACGCCTATTCAACAGCAACTACTTCAACAACAGTTGCAACAACAGTCACAGGTTCAGCCATCATCTGTTTCTTCATTATCTCAAACGAGTTCCATAAATCGATCAATTCCAACCACATCAGTACAAAATACTTTGCCGTCGTCCGCCGGCAACGTTCCGTCTGCTACACCTGTGAATGCTGCTGCGCCGACACCTACACCCCAAAATTTCAATCCATCGTACTTTAAGCAGGAGCAAACATCCGCTTATCTAAATCAACAGCATCATTTAGGGTTGGCTACGGAACCATTAAATGCTCCTTACGGTTCTTATCTGCCGAGTCAGCAACTGTCAGGATTTAGTATGGGTCCAATTCAATCGTTACCAGAATATGGTGCACTGTATCCTGATGCCCAGCGCATGATGGTAAGTGATCATTAAATCGATAGCAAGTTTACCATTTCGTATTACTAAATTTTATACATCTTTTTTAGGGTTACTATGCTGCTG